TTTTTTTTTTTATCATGGTATAATTGAGAGCTAGATGGTAACATTTAAATCCCCCAAAATCTGCAGTTATGATTTGAACCCAGTTTCTTTTGTGTTGCGTGCTAGGCTAACTGTGTCATGTTGCATCCAACAAAAACCTTAAAAACTCTGAATCTGGTTGTCAAGCAAGTGAAATGTGATCAAATTCTTACTGAAGATGTAAAACTGTTTAAAATATTGCCTGATTATATCTAGAATTTACAAAAAAAATTGCAGTTAGCTTTAGCAGTAGTTTATGCTAACTGCTTAGCAGGTTAAAAGCTAACGTTAGCTGAAGTGAACAAACATGTTTTCAAGTGACTAACAAAACTCTCCAGCACTAACATTGTAGCTATAGGCTACATTCTTGGAGGAATTTCAGTGAAGTGTGAAAAGTGTTACATTGTTTGATATTATAGTCTGTTAAAAAGGATTAGCAAAGAAAATCTTCCTTTTAAATACAACTGTAAACAAGAAAAACACCAAATGTTGAAATGAAAGTGTTCTGCTTCCATATATATGATTGATGATATGTGAGATTAACTGTCACAGTTGCTCAGTTAAACATATTTTTAACTATTTGGAGTCTTTTATTTGATTTTACTATACAGTCATATTTGTCACTGATAAAAAAAAAAGGAATCAAACGACAAGATACTATAAAAATACTTGACTTTAATATTTAAAAAATAATCAAATATAAAACAAAGAAATGTGTTATTGTACAAATACCGTAATTTCTGGACTATAAGCTGCTACATTTTTTTCACACATATAAAACACTGCGATGTGGCTGATATAAATGCTTTTCACCATAGAAATGCTGGACTGCTGTGTGATGAAGAGAACAAAACAAATTTTTCCCAAGACTAAAGTGACAACGGAAAAGAGACTGAGGAAGTGTGTGTAAGGCTATTCAATACCGACTCTGAAGAAGACGACGACGTTAGTGGTTTTAATGCACTGAAGGAAGATGAAGACAGTGATAAATTACTTTTCCTTTCTTTTTTAAGCAACGGTGGTACAGGCACTGTTGGAAAAACCATTTACGGTCCATATTTCAATATTCAGATGCTCGCAATAGTCCAGAAATTACGGCATATCTGTAAATGAATTTTCTTCTGATTTGTTGCTGCAAAATCTCTTATTACTTACTATCAATGCAATATGTACCCATGCAAATAATTTGCTTTAAGACGTTTGAAAATATATTCCTTGATGACAAAATACCAATAATCTTGACTTAAAAACCCCAATAAAAACTACAATTTTCCTCTAAAATGATTTGATTTGATCTGAAGCAGGTTCGTTACTTGAGCGCCAATGTATCAGTTAAGTTTATGTTTTTGTTGAAAAGCTCGTTTACTGCATGGAGGTAAATGCAGATTTCTTTTTGTTCAGTTCATTTTCAGCTGAAGCCCGGAGTTATTCTGGAAGATAAAGTCAAAGTTCCTGTTGCCGGACCATTCAGAGCGGGATCGTTTGACTTAAAGGAGATGAAACCGGAGCAGCTCATTGTCGTCCTGTTTTAACAATCATGATGACGCCTCCTGTCTTGTCTTCATACCTTATGCTGCCACAGGTAATTAGCCAGGGCTCAAATGTCAGCAAAATGTCACCCTTACACTAGATCCTCCATGCAACTTTGAATAACTCTCAGGCTGTTTTTTTTTTTTTTTGTAAGCAAACAGGGTCTGCTGCCAGGGACAAAACACGCCTTGTTCTTGTTAAACACAAGAATGTCCATGAAAAGTCCTCATCAAATCTTCTCCACATAATTACCGGGGAAGAGACCTTCCCTTCCTCGAATCCTGCCGGTCCACCAGCCTGATGGATCTGCAGAGGAAAAACAAAAAACACCGTCAATGTTCAAGCATTCAAGCTACCTGAATGGTTGGGCCAAAGCATTCAAAGGGCCAACTTTGAAGAAAAAAGTTGGCCCTCCATTTTTCTTTAAATAAAACTAAATTGGTGTCAAAGGTTGTGCTATCTTTGTGCCGCAACAATTTAGTTTATGCCGCTATGTTCCCAGAGGTCATCAAAGGTCAACCAGCCAGGCCACATTTACACAATCAAGCAAATTTGTTGTCTTTCAACTAAGCTACAAATATTTTAGCAGCACAAATGTAGCATAATTAATTTCTATCAATTTTGCTGGATTTTGTTAAAGTGGGAGGGGAAGAACAGGTTGACCTCTGGAAACTTTTTCAAAAATAAATCTTAAAATTATAAACGCAGCACAAACAATTTTTTTTGCTGCGGCACCACATTTTGTTTGATTTTGTAAATGCGGGCTGGCCTTGTTGACCATTGATGACATCTGGAAACATTTATTAATATTTTTAAAATGATAGCAGCAGAAAACAAAAACTGGTGCTGCACAAACGTAGCACAAAAGCTTTGTTTAATTTGAAGAAAGTGTAAGGAGAGTCTTCGCTCAGGAATTGCTTTAATCTGATTGGCCACATACCCTCTTTGACGAGGTCGAACACGTCGTTAGCCTCGAAGCTGATCTCGTCCGTGTCCTGTCCGATGTACTGATACAAGGCCCGGCAGCGCGGACCCTGAGGTCGTGGCTGAGGCTTCGGGGCAGGAGGCGGTCGATGGCTGATGCTCCTTTTCCTCTGCTTCCTATCATAAAACAGAACAAACCAGTAAAGGGGTGTAAATAGCACACAAAGAGGCAAACAATGGCAAACAAACAAAAGATGTAATGAGCTAAATAAAGCTAGGCATAGAAAAAGTACAAAACTGTGTATTTATGATGATGTTGGTTGGAATTCAAATTAAGAAATACCTTATTGATCCCAAAGGGAAATTCAATGTCAAATTCTACAGAGTTATTGTAGATGGTGAAAAGGAGTTGATAGAAAGTAAAAAGTATTTCTGGCCACAAGTGGGTAGTAACTAATTAGATTTGCTAGAGTAACTTAAAAAAAAAAAGTACTTCTTCTAGCTGTAGTTTTACTACATCATACTTTTTACTTGAATTTGAGTAGTATTCTGAAGTAGCAGAATTTTTTGCTTCTCTACCCAACTCTGCTGTTTATCCAATATGGAGTCAATGATGACATAGAAAGTAACATATGTACTGCTGCTGGAACTTGGGTTGCTAGGCGACGAGTGGGTTGCTAGGTGATGGGTTCCATTAATTTCCTTGTTTTTATTATGTGTACCGTTCTAGTTTTCTGTCCCATAGAAAGTATTCCTAGTCTATTGCTTCCTTGTTGAGTCTTCTGACAGGTTATAGCATTTAATGGAGCTAAATGTGTTTATTTAATTTTGTTTACTCCCCATTATGTTTTTTTGTAGCTTCCTCTTTTTTCTTTCTCAAAGTAAGTAATTCCTTGTTTAGACAGGGAACTTTTTACCATGAGCTATTTGTAATTAATTTGGACATTTGGATATTACACCGACTTTAACACGTGACTCTTAAAATAAATTTGATTCTCATTGAATTCTGCAGATTCATATCACTGGACTGTTTTGCATTGTGATCTAATACTAAATAAATTGAACTGAATTTAATTAAAAGTAAGTTAGATAAGATATAAACCTAATAAACTGGTGGTGTCCCTTTAAAGGGGCTAAAATATTTTATCACCAGTTTGTTCTACATTGGTATGATGGATTATTAAGGCCAGACTAAGAGATTTATTTTTTCAAATTACGACAATATTATCATAATATTACCAGAATAAAGTCATAATACTAGCAGAATAAAGATGCAGTGTTAACAGAAGAAAGTCGTAAAGTTAAGAGAGAAAAGTTTCGGTAGTAATGGAGATGTGACACAACCAGCTCGTCAAGTCCGTGTGCTTCTTTAACTCAACTGTTGGCACAATATTTTGAACTCCCTGTTAATGATAATAATTTGTTGCTCATGTGTTAAAAGATTAAGCATTTCCTTCTTTTTAAAACCGATACAAAAGTATAAGTTCATACTCAAGATTTTTCATTTTATTTTTAATTTATGTTTTTGTGGAGGAATTTTCATAAAATTACCACTTCATTCTTCTGATATTCTACCTTATTCTGGTTCCACTATAACTTTAATCTGGTAACATAATAACTTTATCTTTATTATTTTTGACTTTGTTGTCATGTTATGTTTATTCTCATATTATTATGATTTTAATCTTATATGACTATTCTCGTAATAATATGACTTTATTCTTGGTGTCCTTCAGTCATTTATAGAAATATATTTTCAATCTTTACATTTTCCACCTTAAACTTCTTATTTGTACTGTCGATACTTCATCTGTGAAGGACAGAAAGCTTTATAAACTTGGCACTTTTTGTCGTGTCACGCCTCATGGCGGCAAACAGGCCTCACCTTGACAAGTCCTAACAACCCGTTTCAACGTGTTTGCACTGATTTTACTCAGAGCTGCACCCATCCTCCCAAAGCACCTTTTGTTCGTCTGCGTTTCACCAGCTGGCCTCTCTTACCCTGACATGCCTTGGTCAGGCACGTTGAGGAAGTCCAGGTTCCCTTGGTTGTGCTGGTTCGGGGCCGGGCCCCGGCGGTTCCGTTGGGAGTCCAGTTTGGGAAGCGGAGCGTTGGGAGGCCGGGGTTGTTTGTGTGGGGAGGAATATGTGGTATCTGCATGCTGGTTGGGGTGGGCTCTAGAAAAGTTTGCTCTGCCATTGGCATGTGCTAGAAAAAATAAAATAAAAGTAAGAAGACATGTTTTCCTCTTAAAGGTTAGAGAAATAAACTTACAGAAGTCCTGATGCTTTAAACATAAAGTTTAATGCTCCAGACTTTATTTGTTGCAGCTGAGAGCTTAGTCACAACTGACAACAAAACAAATATTCAAGGGAATTGTTTACGATATTTGTTGTGATTTATAAATGCACTGAATTGAATTGAATTGGTTCTACAAATTCAGCTCATCTTGTATAAGCCCCATTCCTGCCTGGATTACCACATAAGACAAAAAAAAAAAAAAAAAAAAAAAAAAAAAAAAAAAAAA